TTCATCGCCTTAGCGTTGATGATAGGTTTCCTCAGTACTTTGGTGATGGCTTCTCCGTATTTCTTGTACGGCGCCATACGGGAGGTGTCCAAGTTGGACCATTACAAAAATAGGACAGATTTCGAGCTGTGTGATTCGGCAGAGAAGGATTACTTTTGTGATAAGTTTCCAACGTTAACGGCTGTGACGATTTTCTTTATTGGAACTTTTATGAAAGGGTTTGCCGTCAACGCTTTCTATACAATTGGTACGCCGTATTTAGACGATAATATCAAGAAGAAAAATACAGCTATGTATTTCGGTAAGTATCGGTAATTTTAATTTCTTATACACAAATTAATTGATTATTTGTACAAATGAATAGTGTTGTCCGGTTTTCAATATGTGACAGTTTCTATAGCTCTAAATTGGGTCAAAACCCACGTTAAAAACATTTGTTGTGAAAGCCCTCTCTTAAAAAATCACTTATAACTTTTCTGCAGTGCTATGAAACAATTTAACTATGCTTTGTTTGTTGTGCTTGCGTTGTGATTATTGTACCAACCATTATTTTGTGACCTCGTTGTTTTGCTGTATCATTTTTTATGCTTATAAAAGTGATCATAAATATATACTATGAAGCATTTGGAATATTTTTAAAAGAAATTGAAGTTTCATGTTTATGTCGTTGTTGTAATGGATTTCGTTTTCATTGGTTTTTATTGTAAACCTTTTTTAAATTAGTTCGGGCTGAAAAGACGGATATTTTTATTTATTTTGACTACTTTCTTTTAGCTTTAAAAATATTAAAGATATTTTTGAAGCAAAATAGCTTGATTTTTATATTTTTGGAATACAAATAAGAGTCTATTCTGTTGTGTTTTGTTCGCGTTGAAAATAACTATTATTTTGTGCTTATGAAACTTGTTCAGTATATTATTATCATTATAACTAGATGAATACTCGTTCTTCATACAGGTTGGAAAAAGATCAATAAAACGAAATCATACGAAAAATTGAAAGAGATATACAATTAAGCTAAAATAATTCCAGTTTCTTTATTTATTATTGCTTGTTGTTTTTCCAGATTGTTTTATGCTATTTGGTCGAGCAAAATAAGTTTTTAGAAATTCATCCTTTCAAAATAAAAATCAATGATATTCAATGTCATTGAACATGATATTATTGCTCGAGAAAAACTCTTGATTGTCAAAAATTATCAAAATTGAGCAATTTTCACTGGTACTTATACTATTCGGTGGACAGTAACAAACCTATTTCCACAGTAACTATATTAGTATGAGTTGTAAATATCAAAACAGTTTCAAATAAAATAGAATGAGTATTATCAACAAAAAATTTCCCTTTTTTTGGATTATTATTTTTACATTAAAAATACCAAGAAGCTGTTCAGCAATCTTTAAAGTGTGGCACACTTAAAATATGAAGCGTTAAATGAAGCGTTAAATGAAGCGAAATGTTAAGAGTACATTTTTTATATTTAACAAAACAAAAGGCACCTTTTTCTTAAAAATCGATAGGGTTCATCGTTACAGTGAATATGAACGAATCACAGAGATTGATGGTGACCGAAGAGATTCCATTGCTGATGTAGATTATACTTTGGTAAGGACAGATCGGCATCGGGCTTACCATGAGAGGTTTTCGTGGCTTTTACCACCAGTTGGCGCGTATACTGTCACACTTAAGAAAAATTCTTTTAGAAAGGTGAATGTAATCTTTTAGATTCAAGGCTAAAAAGTTCGACTGAGTGTAACCACTGAGTGGATTGCTTGTTCAACGACGGAAATTTTTGAAGTCATAACCTAAATTAGAATGAAAAATGAAAGTCTCAAAACTAATCACGATCACGTAGTTGACCATGATAGAAAAAATACCCAAAGCAGTTTTATAAACATTTCTTATAAATTTAAAAAAAAAAGTTCATTTTTGCATGAAACTGCTAGTCTCTAATGGAAAATTTGCAAATAACTTATGCATTTCGGAAAATATAGATATTTTTTCTGTCACAAAATATTTCCATTCAGTTTTTGACATACCATTAGATGTAATGATATGATATTACATTTTGATCACTATCAGCGCTATTTAAAAAAATATTTTTCAAATCAATAATTACTAAATTCTAGTCTTTCCAAACGATAAATAGCGGTTTAGGCTGCTTCTGATTGTTTTTGGATGATTTTCTGACAAACAAAGCTTAATAAAACTTGATGTTAGTTTATTCCAAATTGTGGGTGCTAAAATTTTATTTCATGAATATAAGTTTAAATATATGCGTATTCAATTTTGTTTTTCAAATAAAATTAAGAGTTAAAAATCCTTCATACTAACAAACAGATGCTATGTACAAAAATCATCAAAACTTCTCTTTTATAAATTAGTAAAGGTTAAATAACTATACACTGAAAACTTTTATAAGTTATCTCTTCACAAATATACTAAAAACATAAAGATTACTCGAGAGGAGAAAAGCGTATAAACTTCAGAGCTCATTTACTCAAATTCATTCTAGTTCACTAAAATGCCACTTACCTGGTTCTTCCACTAAGCTCTTCAAGTATGTTACAGATGGTTCTAAAAATTCCAAATTCTAATAAAGGTATTTTTAATTTTTATGCTAAATACTGTGTGAAAAGATATCCTTTAAAATGTTTTGACAATTCACATCTGTAATATAACAGGCAATCCTAGCTTTCTTGTTTATAGAATTTATTTGTTTAACTTTTTTTTTATAACTAATATACTTTCAGCTACATCAATGATAATTCAATTACTTGGCCCCGCATCGGGATTTTTGCTTTCTTCTTTGTGTCTGCAATTCTATGAAGATCCTTTTTGTAAGTATTGCTTTTGTCAGACAAATTTATTATTTCTTTGAAGTTTTTATGCCGAGAGAAAAAAAAAGCCACAAATTATCTGTTTTTAACTTGAAGCAAAAGAAAGAAAGGCTATAATTTGAGTTCATCGAAACTATGCTATAATTTCAAGCTTTAAAGAGCGATTTTCACAAATAGCTGACATATTTAAGGTTCTCATTGAAATAACATTTTGTTTCAAAATAATATGCTGTTTTCATAATCAAAGACATCTGTGAGTTTGCAACAGTTATTCGTGAGATCAGCTTTAGCCTGCACCATCTGAGCTAATTCTGAAAACGGCGCTATGGAAAAAGCAACAGTTCTGTGAAACTAAAAAGCATTTGTCATTTGTTTTTTTCAATATTTAAAAACATATTCTGACTGTACATTATCAGGGCTCATAAAAAATTTGCAAAACTTGAGACCTATTTATTAACTTTGAAGTTTCTTATCTCGATGTCACCAAATTAAAACTTTTGAAAAGTTTAATATTTCTTAAATTATTTAAGATATTTTATCCGTTCTAAATCACAGATGATTATTTATGGCAAAATGGTGAATTACATGCAATAGTTTAAATATATACTTTTGCTTCAAGCATTTAAACATCCTGTTTTTCTTGGTGAAAGAGCTTCGGTACTTCACCCTCCACAAAAATCGTTAAAAATTGACTAATTTTCATTTTTTTAATATTTTTAACAGCTGAAAAAATTAGTTAAGTAAGTAACAAATGTTAAAATTTTGTTCACAAACGGTCTTTATGCTTATATAGAGCACTGCCTTTTCTTCAGTTTGACAATTAGAGCCATTTTTATTGTTAGCATAAACGCCGCTGTCTAAAGATGAACAAAAGAGTCCCCGGTGACTCATACAAACTCATATAAAAGTAACATTATTTTTTCAATCAAAAGAGACTTCCAGAACAGCCTTACGAACATTATGCATATATTCCTGAATCAATAAAACAAATAAATAAATACTCATAATACTCATAGCAATAATAATTTTATTTGAATTAGATAGCAGAGATCTTATAAATTAATAGAAGATCAAAGTTTCCACAATCTGGAGAAATTTTTTTTTTTAACTTTCTAATTAATTTTTAATTTTTATAAACTTTGAAGTTTCAATTTAGAGCCAGAGTGACGCAGGGGGTGGAACACTTGCCTTCCAATGAGATAACCTGTGTTCGAACCCCAGCGATGGCTGGTCGATACGAATAGCGTACCCGGCTCGCACCGACCACAGTGCTGACGACGTAAAAATATCCTCAGTAGTAGGCGGATCATTGCTTAGAGTCCTCTTGCAGCCATGCTAGCTGTGGGAGGTTTCCGTGGTCTTCCTCTCCTTTAACGCAAATGCGGGTTAGTTCCATCAAGACGTCCTCCACGAAGCAAAATCTCTCCTAATACTTGATCCAAGAGTTTCCTTGTCTTCTGGATATGCAAATCTCACTAAAATAAAAATATGTTAACTAAATATGTTTTCTTGGTTGGTTGGTTGGTGTCGTGTTATGGACAGAAAATAATTTTTAATCCGATCAAAGGTCCTGTATACAACATCTGCAATTTGAAGGCAATTTTCTTCATATAAGTCCGCCCACGGATTGTCACTTATTTGCTGCAATTGCGCCAGTATAGCGGGACAGTTGAAAAGATGTATGGGGGTTAGTTCTATGTCTGGGCAATTTTTGCAGAGGCAGTAAGTCCTTGTTCCGTCACCATGAATCTTCATCCCCCTAAAGTGTCCTGTCCGGAGTCTTGTTAGTGTGCTGGTGAGAGTTCTATTGGTACTGATTTCAGGTATTTGGTGTTTGATTTGGGATTTTACTATCATCGAAGTTTGCCTTAGTCACTGAATTGATATCGCTGAGAGTGACATGAGTAACTTTGCTGGTGTTTAAGTGTCTTGCCTCTTTTGCCAAGGCATCAGTCATCTCGTTTTCAGTAATGCCAACATGCATGGGAATCCACTGCATGGTGCACTGTTTCTTCAAATGGAAAATCTTGCGAAGTGCTCTGTGTATATTTATAATTAGCCCTGAAGAAGCCCCATTGAATTACTTGAAGAGCAGCTCTACAGTCGCAGAAGATGATTAACCCTTTGGCTCTTTCATTTTCTTCAAGCTTTATGTACTCATCTGGGGCTTTTTGGATGGCAATGAGTTCAGAAGTGTAGTTTGAAGCTATTTTGCCTCCTCCGATCTTAAATTGCTTTGTGCTTCCACTCTTTGGAAAAGTAAAGTTGTCACCAGCTCCTCCGTTGTCAAGAGTTTCATCCGAGCGACCGTCGGTGAAGGCAAAGTTTTCTATTGAATACGAGACAATGGTTTTGTCTCCCTTTATTTTAATAGACGAAGTTACTTCTTTTTTGGAACACGGGTCGAGAAGGTGAGTTATAATTTTCGCGTTATCCGGAAGTGTCGAAGACAATATTGACTCTTGCAGAATTTCATATGTGTTATGCTCTCGTCCAGTTTGCTGCGTGACCGCTAGGCCATATTGTATAGTGGAGGATCGTTTGAGTCTTGTATTTTCGTTCTATTTCAAAAAGGTTTGTTTGCTACCATGTTTCACTTCACGACTTCTAACCTTGTTGATATGTTTCATTTATATAATTATTCATAATATTCTTCTTTATTTATAATAAATTAAATTTCCCCCTCATTTCATAGTTATGTGTGAACAGGCGTTCCAATCTTTTCTACATCGGTACACCATTTCGAGATTAACACCATTCGCACCATTTCGATCTCATGAATTTTTAGTCATGTAATATTTGTTTGCTGTGTTATACATACAGGGGTGGACAAAATAACGCAAAACTTCTATGCTAACACATTTTTTCATATTTCTCAAGAAATACTTAAAGAATAATTTTATAAATTAAGAAGTGCTTGAATCATGCGATTTCTCTCCCACATATCAATGAAATGTAAAGCTTTTAGAGGTTAGAAGGACCGACAATGAATTGCAAACGAAAAATAGTATTTTTTCGCATTCTATGTAATCATTTTGTAACTTATATAACAAGCATTTAAATTATATGCAATAAGTTGAAAAAATTCGCAAACCTTTGGGTATTTTTATAAAAAACTAATTTTTTCGTCTTAAGTTTTTTGCTATACATTTAAAAATATTCAATAAAATTAGACAAAATTTTTGAGGAATTTAAAGTAAATTGCGGAACTTCTTGCATTAAAATTTGAGAAAAATCTGTTTAAAATTGAGTCAAGATATGAGTAATTATAGTAGCTCTATTATACGGCTCATACATTTTTCTTAATTTTGTAGTGAATCGTATTTGACAAATAATAAGGAAATATAAATTTTAATATGTCAAAAATGTGAAGCGTTTTAAGCAATTTTCTAAGTGGTTTCCTTACTTTTTAAGTTAACCTTTACCTTTTGCACTATTAAACAAGATTGATTAAAAGTGACATCCCCCATTAAAGTATCGATTCTTCCTCATGTTTTGTATCCTTATAAAAGGGTCAAGCATTATTGTTACATAAGGTGTAAAAACGTTTTGAAAGGGTCAAATATCTCGAGAAATATGCGTTAAATAGTTTATTAAAAAAAATCTAATGCGTGTAGAAAATTTGGTCGTCCATCTCCACCCTCTGTGGTTATATCGAGGGCAACTTTGAAATCTTATGAATGAAGATCTATTTTTATGACAGAATTAAGTTTTCCAGAAGGAAAAAAAAGTAATCCTATTGTTTCGCAGATCTCACTGCAACCGAGAAAATGAAAGGGAATCAATACTGTTTAAAATGACAATCTCCAGACCCATCAGATTAAGAGCATAAAAATAGACAGGTTTTAATTTTTTTTTTCTTCTAAAGTTTTCTCGAAGAAAGAACATTGAAACATTTTTATTCTTTTTTATTTATTTTTTCAGTTTGATGCATTTCCAGATACCACCATTTTAAATAATTTGTACCCTATTTTAATTTTCTCAATTCATTTCCTTCTCAGAGTTGGGGAAGATCAATTCCTTGAAATTACTGGATAGAATTTAAAAATATGGAATGCCTCTTATTTCACTCTTTTCGATTCGATGTATAGATATCGAAACAGTTAATCATTTTCAAACTTTTTTTTCACGCCCTGCATGACGATGTAAGCAAAGAACTATGTTCGAATCTTGAGTGATTGAAAACACAGTTGCTAACCCTGAAAATCTTCATAAAAAAAGTTTTTTTTCTATAATTCCGCCTGTTGTGGCGTAAACACGTTTCAGGAAACAATTGGATTGACCTATACGCATTTCAATAAATAAGTTTTTCTCGCTGCTAATCAGCCGAAAGTCTTTTATTTTAAACTTTGTCAATGAATCGAATTGAGATTGTCATGCTGTTTATTCAAAAAAAAAAAAAATCATCACGTACCCCCTTTTAAGTGATGAACGCCGTTAATGTTACGTAGCGAAGCAAAATTGTTCGACATACCTAAAACCTATTTCATTGAAATTTTGTAAAGAATTTTTATTTTAAGTCATGTCTACAGTGATTCATATCTGTTGCATGATGATCATACTCTTTCTGAAATTTTTTTTTAATATGATAAAATTTAGAATTCTGCTAAATTTATTGTTAACAATGACATAATCTTACTATTTATAATGATAGTAAACTTAACAATCGAATACTTACTATCGGTTTCGTATTGATGTCAAAATGTACGCAAATGGCCGTTGTACGTGAGTAAAAATGTCGGTATTTTTATGATTATAATAATGGAGATATTATATCATGAGACATAAATTTTGTAATTCTATACATACATTTAAAAATGAATAAGAATGCCTTTCTTTTTTTAAATTTTTATTTGAAAGACTCTTTTGAATAATAATTACTGAAGTAGCTGCTTTGTACGTTTCTGAAACAGCAAGTGATCGAAATATTTGTAGGATCTCAATAAGCTTCTCAACTAGAACAGGAAACTCAAATCCTGCCAACATCTAAACTCTATTTAACTTTATCGTTAGGCTTTTTCTTTTTAAATAAATCAATAACAGTATGATTATTATGGAACAAATCTTAAACTTGAAGAGATGATCATCGCTTCAAGTCCCTCTGCCACGACATATATAGTTTGGATAACCTTCATCTAAGACAACACATTAGTCAATACAAATATTTATCTTCTGAAAAGAAATATTTTTTTTAAAATTTATTTTCCGTTTGCTTAAAACTCTAACGTATCGCATATTTTGCCAATGTATATTTTGTTCAATTGCGATTTATAATGAAGATTCAGAATAAATTTAAGTGAATTATATCAGGCAATAGTAATCGTAAATCCATTTATAGAAAAATTATTTATTTTATTAAACATTATAAAAGAAAAGCGTTGGAAAAAAATATTAAAAACTAAACTGTAAATTCATTTTAGTTTTCTACTTAAACTTTTAAGTAATATACTTTGTTACTTAGCCCTTTGAATACTAAAGATCCCTTTGATAGAACCCTTTGAATACTAAAATGAGTTACTTCACTGCTTTATGCTTATAATTTTTACTGCTTAATTTCTTAAAACTGCCTTTGCAAGTTTTGCCTTGTTAAGTTTTTGTAATTTTACACCTTTAGCTAGAAGGAAAGCTTTTTCAGTGTTTCAGAAATTATAATTTCTAATGCTGCGGTAAGCTATCCTCTTCAAAAATATTATTTATGAAAAAATTAGAAGTGCATGAAGAATGTATGATAGTTAATCCAATAACAGAAGTTCAATCTGAATTTCAACACTCATTCCAAGAAAATGATAGTATATTTTTCGGAATCAAAAATTAATACTGACCCAATGATCGATTTTGATAATTTTTAATAATGTAATAGTGATAAATTTTCATTACTTTTGATGTAAAACATCAATTCGAAAAATTAATAAACAGTTCTAATTCTTCTTCGATGTGACTGTTAATAAAAACTTAATAATCTTACTATTTTCAATGTTTAAAAACATTGTTCTGATAATTGAAATTTTATTTCATTCTAGTGTTTATTTGAAATTAAAGAAACACTACATTATTGATTCGCGAGACTAGCTACTCGTGAAATGGTAGTCAATCAAAATCGCTCCTTTTTGCTCTTGACAGAGAACAACAGAAGTTTCTCCTTTGAGACCTAGTTTTCACATAATGAGCACGCAGTTCCATCTTTATCCTTACTGTTAGAAAAAATCCTTCTTCATAGCAGGTTATATAGCAACCTTTTTATCAGTTACTCGCCTAGAGAAAATAACGATAACACTCCAAAAGAATATAAAGCCAAGTTCTCTTTAGGGGACGGGATACCCTCCTGAAAACAATTATCCTTATGTTAACAGCTAAAGATGTCGTTACATAATAATCTGAACGTAATCTGATTTTTTAAATACGGAATTAAAAAATAGTAAAAATTTTAAACTTAGTAATTTCAATAATAATATTGCCATTAAAAAAATTTTAGCTTTTGATAAGAGATTAAAAATTAGAATTAGCAATATACAATTTCCTTACTTAATTATCAGTCCTAAATTTCATAAAATTCCTGTAAAATTTAAAACTATCACATGTGGATCTAATACTTATTTAACTAAACCTGGCACCATTTTCCCTAACTACTTAAATAAAATTATTAACAATATTGCTAAAGAAGGTTTCTCTTGGATTATCACTAATAATCAACTGATTTTAGATTTCATTAAACATAATAAAATTAATTCTATTGCAACTTTTGATTTCCAGGATCTTTTCAATAGCATTCCCCTTTCTAAACTAAAAGATGGCCTTTTGAATTATTACCATGATTTTAAAGATATCCTTTGTTGCTATTATGATTATTGGGAAATTTTGATTAATTTTTGTCCTTTTAATAACTATCTTTACAATGGAAAGGATATTTTTCTTCAAATTGATGGAATACTACAAGGATCTAATTATTCATCTCTCTTAGCTAACTAGTTTTTGCAATATTATGAAAAAAATTGTACTCTTAGTATGAAATTTGTTTTTACATATATTGATGATTTAATTATCTTTAATTTCCAAGATTTTACTATATTATTAAATGATATTTACCCAGAGGAATTGATCTTACTTCGTAATCATGATGATAATATTAATTTCAATTTTTTGGATTTGGGTATTATAAAAGTTGGAAATATCTGCTTTGTTAATTTATACGATAAAAGAAATGATTTTAATTTTAATAATAATAAACTAATTACTTGCAATTCTAATGTTTCTAGGAGCATCTATTTAAATACCACTTTTAATGAAATGAACAGAATTAAAAGAATATGTAGTAATATTTACTTATCCAAAAAACAAATAGATAAACTCTTTCAAAATTTGATAACAAACAATGGATACCCCAACTAAAGTAATAAAATTTTATGTAAAATCATTAAATTAATCGTATATTTTTGTGGATATATTTACTAAACATTTTCTTTGTTAATTTATATAATTTTCCCATGTGCAAATCCATTGCGGGTAAATCCATTGTCAAAATTATTTACTAAATAATTTCTTTGTTAATTTGCTTAATTTTTCCATGTGCAAATCCATTTCGGGCAAATCCGTGGCTAAAACTATTTGCAAAACAAGCAATTTATGCTTCTCTTATCCATTTTATATTTTTTCTTAAATATACATCTGTTTTCTGAAATTATTTATGGTCAACTTTTTTAAATTATCCAGTATAATATTACCTAGCGCACATCCATTTCGGGCCCATCCTTTGTAACTAACAAATCAATGCACAGCATAACAAATCACTTCAGCAATGCAGTAAGAACTGTACTTTAAAACCCACTAGTTAGCGCTTTTGTTTTCATATTTTGTAATCTGGCAATCTTGTTGCAAAAACATTTTTAAATCATTCTTGAAAAAATTCCCGTTCATGTAAGTACATCTGATTTCGCTACTCGCTTTATAGTTTATATTTTATATTGATTTTTCCTTTTATTTTATTTTATTTTCTGTTTTTACGTTTTATTTTTACTTATTGTGTTCTATTTTATTTGTTGTAATTTTTGTAAAAAATTTTTTTGAGTGCTCCTCACACTATTGTATTAATATATTTCGCTTTGGCTATATTGATACAATATTAGAAAACATTCTTTTTTGCGGATATAATCGTGTGGGCTGATGAAAAGATTATATCTTCTTTTTTTTCCGTTTTTTTAAATAAAATTTCATACTTTTTTTTTCTTTTTTAAATCAGTTGTTTGTTATTTTTTTAATTATTATTTCCTCCCCCTTCTTTTCATATGTCTAAAAATTTTTTTTGTTTCATCTTCATTTTGAACTTATCTAATGAGTTCTGTTTACTTGCAGCTTACTTCTTGTATTTATTAATTTTGTTATATATATATATATATATCTGATATGATACTCTCATTTTAAACAGAGCTCGTAAGGCCCTTAAGATACTGAAATGGGGGCACGAAAACTTAAAAGATTTTTTTTTTCCTAATGCCCGCCTGTGTTAACATCAGTCAATTCAGGCATCTACAGGGCGACAGATATCTGTGTGGCCTAAGGATTCCTAACGAGCATNGTATTTATTATTTTTGTTGTATATATATATATATATATATATTATTAAGCTAAACAGTTTTTAGTCGGAACGTTGTTATTATTAAGGAGTAAATAAAAAAGTTAACTTCTTTATGAGCATCAATAGGAAAAGTTTCGTTGACGAAGTTCATTTTTCATGTTTATTTTGATTGTTTTTGCATCGCTAAAATATTTCTCGCTCATCAATTTATAAAACGTCTTTCAGATACTTGATGCTCGATACTTTGTCTCATTAAAATTAAGAAATCAAATTAAAGTGGTTTTTGTTGTTATCTTGTCTATTTAAGTTCCAAATTAAATTAAAGCATTAACTTAGTTTAAATTCTAAATACGAATATGAATATTTCTAGTTACGAATGCGAAATTCAAATTCACTGTTGAATAATGTTGAATAATACTGTTGAATAATCATAATGTGAAAGTGTAAGTACTTAAAAACATACTGGTATTTAGGTCAATATTTAATGAATGAATTAACTCTCATTCGAAAGAATCTTAAGTAATCAACAATAAAATTCTTTAAAACTAGTTTTAGTTTTTTTCAAAGACTATTAAAAATATTACCAGGGTTGGGTTATGAAATGCGTTCAAAATGGACGAAAAAAACTGCAATTTCTGGTTTTAAATTGCCATTGCCCCCTTTATTTAATAGATTTTTTTTTCGACACAGAATACTAAGCGTTAATTATTTTTATAAATGTTTTTAAAAAAGGAAAGAAAAAAATGAAAAGAAAAAATGATTGTACAGTCGTTGTAATACCATAATTTGAATATTTTGTAAAATTAATAACGTGGTTAAAATCTTGTAAATTTTAATGTTGTGATAGTTTGATAATAGTTTTTCCGAGTAGATGATCCTGGTTATGGCACTGATGACCCGCGTTGGATCGGAGCATGGTGGCTTGGCTATATCATCATTGGACTGCTCATGTTGCTTTCCTCCCTACCCATGTGGCTTTTCCCAAGGAGATTTCCAGGAGTGAAAGCTCCAAAACCTCTCCCACAAAAGCAGGATTCAAAAGCTAAGACTGGTACTCTTAAAAGTAGGACATTTTTAGTTTTACTATAGTAATATTTAGTTTGAATATGGAAATAATTAGTTGTGTTTCTGCACATATTGTAAACCAAAACTTTGCCATGTTAAATAATAGAGGAGACATTTGACTCTTATTGATATTAATGTTCTACAACAACGGAGTTACACATATTCCTAAACTTGATATGATAGATTCTTGATTAATAGTCTTACAATATAGGAGAATAATATATGTGTGTGTTTCATATGGCTTTATTAGGAAATGAATCCGTATGAATTAGACAATTCACTGCCTCACAAGGGAACAGGAAATAAAACAAAGAAGCAATAGAAGTTCAAAAATTTAGATTAAATGAACAATAAACATTTCAATCAATAAACACTTGAAACAATAAATTGAAAATAAAATGCATTTTGAAGTCTTAATGAATGATATGTTATCTCTCCAACTTGATTAATGTAAATCTCAGATTTATAAATCTATTTGTTTCAGAAAACAAGATACAAAAAATTTAATTTTTCTAAACGACTCACTGTTTTGAAGATTCATAACAGCATGTTTCGTGCTATAGTAAGCAATAGAATTGTGAGCCTATAAAATTGATTCAGGATACTCAAAGAAGTATTTTTAAGAAAAAATTTAATTTTTTTTAATTAATTAATTTTCATTCATTTCGAGCAAAATTATTCACACTCATCTGAAGTACTCATCTGAATTATTTTGGAGTGATTGAAGATTCTAAATTGTAAGTTACAGAAGTTTTGAAAGATGAAAATGGAATCAGTTTGTTTTAAACTGAACCATTACTTAACAATTATGATCTAAAAATGTAATAAAACTAATCATCTTATAATTAATGGTGAGGATAGATATTTTAATCCTACAAATTAAGTCAATAAGAGAAATTATCAAGAAATTTTCGGTGAACTTTCCTTTTGGCAAACAGAACGCTTCCTGATATTTCTTTTGCAATAAGTTTATTTATTTAGATTAGTTGTTATAAAGATTATGTTTTGTTTTATGATAAACAATTGGGATTTTTAAATGGATTGGGACGATGCAGGTCTTGAAAATGGTAAAAGAGGTGAATCATTATCACAGTGTGTAATTATGTTAGGTAATTCTATAATCTTGTGAAAAACAGAAAACGAAGAATTGTAGGATTGTCAACATGTAAAGCGGAACTATTTGCTTTTGCTGAAACAACAAGAAAATTCAGAAGAATTATAAACATGTTTAGTGAAATTAACTGTAAATAAACCATAAATGCTTCCACTGAATTTCATTCTGATAGTCAAGCAGTCACTGACTGGTGAAGTAATGATAAATCATCAAATAAAACAAGGCACGTAAATTTAAAGTTCCGTTTCTCAATAGACACAGTTGATGATCAAATTTAAAAACCAGTATATAATAACACTACTTATCTTTAGGACAAAAGCTGTTGTATTTGATAAATTAAAATTTTCTTTAGAAAAAATATTTTTCTTTTAAAATTTAATTTAATAGATAGGTTATTGTTTACTCAAAAGTAAACCCCGTATCTTAAAAGGAGAGTGTAGTTTTCATGGATGTAACAAAGGCTTTTCATTTTAACCAAGTCCCTGTGTGTTTTTTTTAACTGTTTGTGTTTTGTTTATAAAAATTCATCTTGAAATACTGCAATTTTTAGATATGGGCAATACTATATTGCGACTGATACGAAATCCGATCTTGATATTCTACCAGTTGGGTGGAATATTCCGAGTGAATGGCGTGATCGGATATTTCATTTTGATGCCAAAATACATGGAGATGCAGTTCCAGCAGTCAGCATCCAAAGCAAACCTCTTCTCAGGTAACTTTCTTTTTGAAAGAGAAGATTTTTTTTCTTTAATCCCGTAAAAATATAGGTCGTATAAAATTTTCTTTTAAGAATAAAAACCTGAATAAATGCATTTACGTTTTCTCAATTTTTAAAATTAAATCCGTTGTTGATTCTTAAAAACTAATTGCCGGTTTGATCACTTTTCAAAGTAATCTCTTGTGCAACACCTTCCCTCCAATCGTAATTTTATTAACCAACTTTTTTCACTGTCTATATCACCGTGATATATATATATATATATATATATATATATTAAAATA